CTTGGAGGTAAGAATGGCCCTGAAAGTTCCTGCAGGTGAATTACTAAACACAGCGTAGAAAAATCACCACTGTCTTTTGCACTGCACAGAAATGTCAGCTGTCCATTAATATAACTCATTCCTGCCCCAACTTTCAAAAGAATGCAGTGAAGGCATTTACAACCTAAATTCCTGGTAGGGAATCATTCAAATTACTTGAAAAATATCTTGCAGTTCATATCCTGACTTTCATTCTGGACCACTTATGTGAAGATGAAAAATTTGAACTCTGGTTTCAGGAGCTTGAAAGCATTACAATGGGGAAAAAAATCCCTTCTCAAACCAGTGAGGAAATTAGTGGAGGGGATTAGTAACATCAGACTAATTAACAAGAGTGAGAATGAACATGAGAAGAAGGACAAGAGCACATGAGTGAGAGAGAAAGAAACTACATTTTAAAAAGCATTAAATAAAAGTTTCAAATTAAACTAAAAATATACTCAAAATAATTCAGACTGGCACAAGCCTTCTTAAAAACAAGACAGCAGGTCCAAAATGGAGTCACTTATGCTAAGCCCCACGTCACCAAACCAAGACTTAACTTGATTATAGTTTTAACCTGTTCCAGAAAAAAGAACCTTAAACCAGTCAATCAGTAATTGCCTGGTCAGCACTAGGTAGATAAGCTGCCTGACAGACCCCTGTTGTCCCCTAAAGGAAAGTGACCTGGCCACAACCAATCTGCTCTCTGCCTAGCATAACTTCCTTGTCCCAGCTCCCTTTCCCCTACAACAGTCTTTCATCTTATACAGCTTCTTGAAGCTTCTATCTGCAGCTAGATACTGTCTGATTCATGAATCACTGAATAAAGCCAATACAATCTTTAACATTTACTTCGATGAATTTTGTTTTTCAGCAACATGAATTCTCAGGGGGGCTAATCCAGTATCAATGATCTATAGTCCCAACGAAATAATATGTCAGAATGAGAAATCCCACAGTCAGCTTCCATGCCTGATGTCACAGGACTTGAGACTTTGGGTTTATCATTGACATTATGGATATGAAATCAAGATGTTTTACTTCCTGACTCTTATGAAAATAAATGCTTTTTCCTTAATTTACTCTAAGTCTATCGCCAAAATTTGTTAGGTCCAGACCATGATAAATAAAGTGGGACTATATTGCAAAGAAATGACACTTCCAAGAAGAGAGAAATAAAAACAACACACATGCACATACTTTAAAAGAAATCCTAGGCATTAAAAATAGTCTACAATGAACCTATACGTTTCTATTAAATCACCATCTTGACAACTAAATTTATGCATCTAAATGTGTAACAGACATTACATACCATTTTGGACTATTTTCACCCCTGTAGCTATGAATGATGAGTGAGGAGGGGGAAATAACACTGTGGCAGCCAGTAATATATAGGTTTGGGTCATAAAACAAAATATCAAAATAATTTCTTGGTTTTCCCAAATAGAAGGCATTTTGTTTTTGCTTCTGGGTTGGAGTGAATGCTCAAATAGGGAAAGGAATAGAAATAGGAAGCAAGGGGCCTGAGATGGACTTTTTTAACTTGAAAATGTTGACCTGAGTAGCTTAAGGTCCTGCACATAAAATAAATAAGATAAAATGGTTACATTCTTTTAATTGACAGAGACTTGGCGAAGGTTGTCCTGCTTTCTGGGATTCAAATTCAATAAAACCTTCCCAAGGAGCTGCAATCCTCTGAACATTCACCACATAAAATGTTAACCAGGCCTTCCAACTTGCTGCTCAATACACAGGAGTTCCATTTGCTAGAGGTCAGAGAACACATATCAGATCAGCGGGTGCCCTGGGGGAAGGAGCATTCTGGGTCCTGTTTATCCTTTGAGGACTGTTTGCCTTGCATTATTTGCATGGGTGACTATCTTTGTCATAAAACCTGTTCTGTTTGCTTTCTAGAATCACTTCATCACTAGTGACAAATGTTACAAAGCATTTTATGTTGGTTAGGATATCGTCCTAGGAACAGGAGCTATAAAGAGAAAGGAGACACAGTCTCAGCATCCAAGAAGCTTATATTGTAGTTGGGGAGAGAATCAATCAAGGGCCAAAAAAATATAAACAGTAATATAAGTGTGGTAGGAGGCTAGACTTGTATTTCAGTGGGATTGGGATGTGAATGGGCATGATCAGCAGACTGGTTGGGTGGGCTCACCAGAAGACTCTGCATGAGTATTGAACAGTTGCTTTTAAAAAGTCCCTCCCTAACAGGACAGAAAATGCCAGGAATAACATGCTTTTACCAGTAACAAAGCATAAGGGAATACTGTTCTGAGTAAAATCCAACAGTTAAACTGTCTCTAACCCAGCCCTAAGGAAACACTGCTTGGATTCTAGGAAGAATGAAAGCTATAAGTAAACATTTACTTTCACTAAGACTCTGTAGAACATTAGAGAAAGAACATGCTTTGAGACCCCTTTAACAAATGGAGACTGTGGTAGTGATTACTACTGTTCTCCAAATATTTCCTCCTCTCTGTTTTCTGAGCATATAAGTTGGAATACATTTCTTGGCCCCCTTGTGTTTGAGTGAGCCTGATGACTAATCCCAGCATGTGATGGATATATGGAAATGGGTACAAAGTATCAAGATCTGTGATTCTCATGTTAACACCTACCAAAAAAGCATCCACCATGGATGAGCACTGACCAATCACGTAGACAAAATGACCTAGCTAATTGATGGCATCCAGAGTTTGTCATCGGCCACCACAAAAATGGCACAATGGAAAGAAGAGAGTAACTACAGGGGCAGAGATGGAGGTCACATATGGGCCCAACCGGAATCTATTACTACCACACCACGATGTCCACCCTATTAGCACCATAGACGGATGCTGAGTCTCCAATATGGTACTTCTCCTTGAGGAGATTGATGGACCACTTCGTAACAGTTGACTTCATTTGGGTCATTTCCACCCTGGAAAATCCAGCAGTTCATTCTCACAGAAATAGATATTTATTCCAGGTATAGGTTTGCCTTTTATGTCCGCCAAGTCTCAGCCAGCTCTGCTATTCAAGGGTTTACAAAATGCCTGATACACAAAGATACAATCTCAAATAACATAGCATCTTACCAGGATGCTTCACTTCACAGCGCCGGAGGTAAGGGAGTGAGCCCATGATCATGGGATCCAGTGGTTGTATTACATACTGTACTATTCAGAATGCAACTGGCCATCACAGAGCAATGGAATTGCCTCCTAATGGTACAGCTGAAGTGCCAGCTCAGAGGCAAGACTCTGTGAGGATGGAATGCCATCCTCTAGGATTCCATATACACACTGATTCAGAGACCTCTGTGTGGTACTGTGTCCCCCACAGGGAGAGTACATGGATCTCTGAACCAATAAGTGGAAGGAGGAGTGATCTCACCTGCCATTATTCCCAGTGACCTACTGGGGGACTTTGTGCTTTCCCTCCCTTCAACTCTGGGATCTCCTTGATTAGGATGTCCCCAAGGGGGCACACTCTTGCCATCCAAGACCCCTTCAGAGGATACAGCAAGATGCCACTTGTACACTCTGCACTTCCTGTGTCTGGTCAGCAGGCAAATAGAGGAGTCACCATCTTACAGGGGTGATTGACCCCGTTCAGCCAGGAAGAGGTGAGGCTGCTTTTACATGGCGGGGAGTGGGGTGGGGGCTAGGGAGAAATATACATGAAACCCAAGTGATCTGCTTGGGCACCTCATGGTATTCCCTCGTCCAAAGGAGACTGAATGGATGAGGACATTAACCTCAGTCTGCAAGAGGCTCAGATGCCTCAGGAATGAGGGTTTAGGTCATATCACAGGGCAAACCACTGAGGCCAGAAGAGACAGTAGCTGAGGTTGAAGGGAATTTAGAGACGATAGTGGAAGAAAACGACGACAAGGACCATTTGCATCCCCAAGTCCCACTGCAGAAACAGGCTATAGTTCACCACATTAAACTCTCTACTGCAAGCTTTCCCTCAAGAAGGAAGACCCACTGGAACCCCTGAATAACTGCTCCCTGAACCTGTATGGAGAAGTAAATTTGTGTCAACCATGGAGAGAAAGTCCTTAACTACCCAGAACCACTTCTCCATCAACTCCACCCAAGTCCTTTCGATCAAGATCACAGAGACTTGATTCTGACCTGAGGTCTTCATGGTCAAGGACATCAAGAACCTATCTTCTATACATCTCTACTCCTACTCCCATAGAAATAAAGTTCTCATCTCCTAATTTGCTTTGGCTTAGTCTCCTTAATATCACCCTCGGCAGAGAATTGCTCTCTTGCCATCTACTTTAGCAATCTTGTCTTTCTTTTCTAATGATTCTCTTCAGCACTGACTAATAGTTTGTGCCTGTTTTGCCCCAAATTATTCTGATTGTGGAACACATACATGGAGTTAAAGCTGCTCTGTTATAGCATTCAGAGTTAGGAGAGCTAACTATTTAGTAGGCATTACTGTTTAGATAGATCCATATAGAACAGCAACGGACTGAGGAGTGTCATACATATTTTTAAAGCGTCAACATACATACCCTCTCTCCTACTATTCACAGATTCACAATATCACAGCTAGGATCCACCTTTATTCTTGTTTATCTTCAGGTTTCAATGTAACAACCACCCAGAGGCACTTGAAACAACCGTGTGGCTGCTGCCATGTATGGTTCATCTTGCATATGTGGCAATGATATATGGGCCAGAGCCCAGGTTCCCCAAGCCCACCCTCTCCATGGCCATTTGTGACACCTGCCACCTGCTCCCAGACAGAAACTGTATCCATGTGTACAAGTGTGTTTTTATCAAGGAAGAGGATATTTATTTGGATCGCCCTCTGTGGAAGTGAAGCAGTTTCTCATGGTCTTGCTTCACTTCTAGGTCTGAATACTAAGGCTAATTCTCCCTGGTACAGAGTGACCAACCCTAATTGCCTCCCAAGAAGCAGAGAAAAGGCACTGGTTGTTCAAATTCCACACAACTCACCGGCATGTTGGTAAAGAGGCGTTCAGTGGCCTTGGTGTTGGATGTGGGGGAGCACTCAACAGGAAGTCCCATTACAGGATACAATGCTAGAGTCTGAAAAGAGGGAAGAGGCAAAACAATAACAAAATATGGAGAGAGGCTCAAAACCGGAGGCAGTCCCCAACAATAACAGAACACACATTCTCTTTCAAATGCATAAGAATATTTACCAAAACTTGTCATACACTGGTTCACCCAGTCTCCACAAATTTCAAAGGGCAGGGATCTCAGATCACAGTGATATTAAGCTATAAATCAGTAAAAAAAAAAAAGATTACTAGAAAGTCCACAACTAGTTGAATATTAAGCAATACACTTTTAAATAATTCATGAGTCAAAGAAATCACAATGAAAATTATAAAACATTTTGAACTGATGATAAGGAAAGACACTGCATATCAAAACTCATGGGTGCAGCTAGAGCAGTGGCTGGAGGGGATATTATAGCTTTAAATACACATATTAGGAAAGGCCAAAAAACAATGATCTATGTTTCCATTTCAGAGTTAAAGAACAACAAATCAAATCCAGAGAAACTAGAAGAAAGTACTAAAGCTGAGAATAGAAATCAGAGAATAGAAAATATTAGAGCATAATCAACAAAGCCAAAAGTTGGTTCTTTGAAAAAATTAATACAAATTATACAATAGATGTTGTCACACAGCTTTCCAAGCCCAGGGGCCAGAGAAGAACATCAAAGTTTGGGCAATGCTAAGCTCACAAAAGGGAGCTGAATGGATACTGAAGGGGGCCCAAACTAGTCCATCAGTACATGTTAGCCGCTAACTTGTATAGCTAGTCAGACTGTGGTCCATGGGTGGTCAGCCAAGCGCCACGTTACTCAGGTGTGAACAGGAGGTCAGCAGTCAGCAGGCAATCAGCTTCTGAGCTGAACAAGCATCTCACAGGAAGAGCAGAATCTGTGAGGGTGTCTGTAACAGACTCCTCCCTCATCTATGCTTGGGAAGTAGGTTTTTTTTGGTATTTGCAAATTTATTATTGTCATGTTTTCACCATCAAAACTTAGTCTTGGTCTTTCCTTCTTTCCTTTGAAGAAGGCCAAAAGGGAGATACTGGCTACTTTGACAATCTTAAAGCCAAGTCCTGGAATGTCACCAACAGCATGACTTTTGTAACCAAAACCAGCAACCAGAACGTCATCATTTTCCTCAATAAAATTCAAGCAACCATCATTAAATACAAAGGCGGTGACTTTTTTTTTTTTTTTTTTTTTTTTTTTTTTGCCATTCTTGATCAGCTGGACTCTGACACACTTCCTGATGGCAGACTTTGGCTGTCTGGCTTCAGCCCATACTTTAAGAAAAAAAGATTTTTAAATCTATGTATTTATTTATTTGGGAGAGAAGAGAGAGAGAGAGAGAGAGAGAGAGAGAGAGAGAGAATGTGTGTAAAAGTGGGCAGGGGAGGGCAGGGGGGGAAGTAAAGGGGGAGGGAGAGGGACAAGCAAATTCCATGCTAAGCATGAAGCTCAATGTGGGGCTTGATCTTATCACTCTCAGATCATGACCTGAGCTGAAACTAAGAGTCAGATGCTTAACTGAGCCACCCAGACACCCCAACCCCTACTTTTTCCAACACAATTCTTTTTGCATAGGAAGCACTTCCAAAAGGCAGGCCTTCGGGGCTGTGCCCACATGGGCTTTCCTGTACCATTTATCATGCTACTTCTGGTTTCATCAGTGGCTGCAGAGCTACATGGCAGGACGACAACCATGACATGTGTCCATCCTGCTGACGCCATGGGCCTAAATAAAAGAGGTATGCTTGCAAAGTATTATGTACCCAGCATCAGAGGAAAACGTTCTTATTAATTTCATGAGTAGTAATCCAGCTTGTGTTCATGTTCTCCATACATGTTATGAGTAGAACTGCTGCACTTTGACTTCCCTCACCAGGACTCAAAGGCTGGGGTAAACAACCCACAGCATTAGAGTCAACGTGTGTACCAACTAGCTAGCAGCTGTCCAGGCATTTACCAAGAGAAGATCATAGCATATTCATGCTCCGACTGCATAATGACAGTGTAATTGTGTCCTGGGGTTTCAAGCAGACACAATAAGAAGTCAGATACTTCTGGACAGCATAGTCTAAATCAAAGAGCAGGACTTAAAGAAGGTAATCCACCTTTCTGTGTTCATATCTATGTATCAGTAAGGATGCACTAGACTGCAAGTAACAGAAAATTGGTCTCAAATTGATTTAAACAATGAGAAAAGATGTTAGTCCAATTATAAGTGTCAAGAGGCAGAGCAGACTCCAAGCACATGATGTTGCATCTCCAGTTCCATTTGGCTCTGTTCTCCTCTGTGAGATGGCCATCGCGACTCCAGGTGCAACCGGCAAACCAAGAGGGGCTTCTCTCTCCAAGTCTCCTCTCCAATCTCCCTGGCAAGATTTCCTCTCTTGTTTTAAAGATTTATTTATTTATTTGAGAAAGAGAGAGGGTAGGGGGAGAACATCTCCAGCAGACTCCCTGCTGAGCAGAGCCCAACCTGGGGTTCAGTCTCACAACCCTGAGATCATGACCTGAGCCAAAATCAAGAGTCAGATGCTTAACTGACTGAGCCATCCAGGCACCTCAGCAGAATTTCCTCCTAAACCTCATTGGCCCAGATTGGGACATATACCTTTTAGTAAATTAATTACTGACATGGGATTGCCATGATTGGTTTAGACCAATTTTTTAAAAATATTTTATTTAAGTATAATATACTTAAAAATATGAAAAAGGAATAAAAATCTTTAAAAATAAATAAAAATATGTACATTCCTTGATGCATGTTTACAAACTGGATCCAACTTTGTAACTTGCACTAAATAAGGGCTTTTAACCTTGTTTGTGCTGGGGACTCCTTTGGCAATGTGGTGAAGCCTAGGGACCCCTTCTAGGAATGTTTTTAAATGTATAAACTAATATATGGAGGATCACAAAGGAGTCCAGTTACTTGGAAATGACATTATTAAAGTTTTCATGCATTCATTTAGGTTAATTAAGATTAATTTGGTCATTCAATAAATTTATGGCATAGTAGTATGTGTGCTTCTTTATTAACACATTAAATAACAAAATCTAGTGGCACATGTAATTACTACAATAATTCCAAATTGCTGACAAGTGTAAAGGGTTCAACTGGTGACAAAATCACAGATCCTACTAATATACTACTGTTGTTTGTTGCCCACATTAATTATTAAAGGAAAAGCTATATTTCAGTTAAAGGTTAGTGGAGATAAAGAGGTATATTTTCCATGCCCAGTCACAGACACCCTAAATTCTACCTGTCAATGGATCTGAGGTTAAGAACACTTGAGCTTTGGGCTCATCAGTTGAATCGGTCTGGATGTTGGACAGTTGAAATCGTGACCCACCACAGTAGATGAAGGAAATGGAGCTTGGGGTCCTGTAGATTCATTCTTCATTCATTCACTCAACAATTATGTATCACATACACAGTATGTGTTAGGCACCATGTTATGTACAGGTATACAGTAGCAAATTAAGAGACATACTCTCTCCCCTCATATAGTTTTTAGACCAGTGGAGAAGAGAGAGAATAAAGGAAAGAGAGATGAAGTGAAGATTCGGAGACAGGGCAAGTTGGCCATTTGAGCTGGAATCCAGAGGGTTCCAGATTGAACTGAATCCTTTGGTTCAAACCACAGGATGGGTAAGTCTCTAGCTGAATTCTTCAGAGATAATTGCTAAGAATTTCTCCAGAGTAAAGCAGACTTTCCAGCGGGGACACTCTGGACCCCTGGTCAGCCCTTCCCTGGAGTAGTCCTGACTGTCCTGACTATGGTCTAAATGGGTGGCTAATCCCATTTAATTTCATATTGTTCGATAAAGAGCCCTATGACTTGCCTTGCAACCAAACCTTTATGCCAAAGCCAGAAGTTCATCTATCAGTGATTTGCCTTAAGACGCTATCTCTAAGAACACATTATGTCTCCAACCTGCAGCTTACAGTATTAGTAACAGCATCTCAGGAAACACCATGATGCCCTGAGAAAACAAAGCTTTGCTTCTTCCTTCCTTCTTTCATCATAAAATATTTATTGAGCACTTGCTGGATAATAAGCATGACGCTGGGAGCAAGGGCCACAGAGATGAATAAGACATGGCCCTACCCCTGAACAAACAACACTCTAGTGGAGGAAGACAGGCATGTAAACCAGTAAGTAAATGCCAACTGGTGTCCCAGCTGCCGCAGGAAAAGCCCGTGGGAGTTGTGGGGGGTACAAAGACTGGAGGGGACAGTTCTACCAGATGTGGAGCGAGGGGGGGGGGCAGGCAGAAAGGATTTTGTAAGAAGTCAATTCTTAAGCTTCATCTTCAAAGAGGGGTGAGTAGAAAGAATGTTGCCAGGTGGTCCAGAAAAAAGGGACTTCTGGGACACCTGGATGGCTCAGTTGCTTAAGCGTCCAACTTTTGATTTCAGCCCAGGTCATGATCTCAGGATTGTGGGATTAAGCCCTGTGTGGGGCTCTGTGCTCAGTGGGGAGTCTGCTTGACATTCTCTTTGTCTCCCTCTACTCCTTCCTCCCTTCTCCCTCCCTCTTTCAAATAAATAAATAAAATCTTTAAAAAAAAAAGAAGGGACTTTCTCAGCTATGAATTTACCAACTACCGTGGCCTTCTCCACCCACAGGAGCCATGAATCATTAATCGAGGTCCCAAGGAGGTGGTACTAAAATTAGAAGCAACCATCATTCAACCATGCTTCCCTTACTTTTCTTCAATGGTGCTTAGAAACATGTGTGCCAAAAAGACATTCAGATATGGAAAAGACATGAAATCAGAATTAGGCAAGCAAGCAAGAATCAGAAACAGCTTGAAAAGAGCAACAAAAGGAAATGAAGTTAGTATTTCCATGTTGTGTAGGGAGCACATATTTTTTTAGGTCCTTAAATCATCATGAGTGAATCAAGTTTTACATCTCCTTATACTGGCTAATGTAGCTCTAAACCTTGGCTACAAAGGAGAACCAAGCACCTAGAGTTTTTTAAATGACCAATTCCTAGGATACACTCCA